GAGCTTAAAGCCCCTGATGGCTCTGGGCGCTGACTCTCACCAGTGGCTATGGATGAAGTCACAGGCGATTTTCAGCCAGCGCCGGTAAATTTTTAAAACTTCTCATCCCTGAGAGTTTGCCAGCATCCCATTGGCCAAAGTAAGTTACATGTCAGCGCATCAGAATGGGATGAATATTCAAAGTTACAGGGCAAAGGACTGGATACAGAGGAAAAGGAGAAATAGTGATCATAAATGTCAACTGGTCTAGCACAGGATACATGATAATTTTTTTCACATGATCATTTTTAGCTAATAAAGGTTTCATGAAAGTTGTTGCTATATATAGTCAAATTGGAACCAACTTATAGCTGATCATCCAGCAAGTTTTCAGAGGCAGAAAATCACACAAGGGAGCTATGGTGGCCTAGTGGTAAGAAGCTGTGCTGCAATCCTCAAGGCACGAAGTTCAAATCTATCAGCTGCTGTGAGGCAGAAATATGGGCAATCTCCACCTGTGTGATTAAACTGCCTCTGAAAACTTGATGGAGGATCAGCTATGGGCTGGTTCTGACTCAACAGTATACACAGCAAATCACACTAGAAGAAATTGCCCATTTTTCTCCCATAGACAGACATCTGCTGGATTCAAACTGTGTGCCTTTGGGTTGAAAGCAGAATTCCTTAGAAGAGGGCACACTAAAGCAGAGTGTTAAAACATGACAGTGTTCACCAAATGGATAACTTACTTGAAACTGGATGTAGACCAGTTTGCAACATCAACAGAAACCTAGCAGTACTTAGGACAGAGTTTTATTATTTGAATCTTGGCTTCATTCCTTTTGGTTGAGCACAGGGCAGCAGGCATTCAACACATGTTTGTAGAACTGAATTGAATCTCTTACTGTGAATGAGGTGTGGACTGAAACAGCTGAACCTTAGAGTCAATTGTTTAAACAGCTAAGCATCAACTCATCAAACAGAAATCCATGTACTTGGCAGAGTTCCTCAGTCATTCATCCCACAAACATTTTCTGAGTGCCTGCTGTAAGCCAGGTTCTGTGCTGGATGTTGAAGAGATCATGATACACTTTCACAGCCTGGGCTTCTATTTAAGGGGACAGGATAAATAATACTTTCCAATCAGCTTCTCTCTCCAGTTACTTGGAGCTCTTGTCGTGAGTGCTAACTCATCCAGAAAAATGCATCAGAAGCTGGTGCTATGCAAAATCAGATCTTAGGAACTACACTGAAATTCTCTTATGGTCAAGGAAGCTAAGTAGTAAAAATATTCCCTTAAACATTTTAAGCTAAAATCCATGTCCATCTAGGGAGAGAAAAAAAATAATAATAAGGTATCAAACCTGTTTACTTATTGAAGTAGATGGGCTACTGTTTGGGCAAAAACCCAAGTCAGTTTCCTCTGTTGTACAAAAGAATAATGTGGTGTTACTTGCCTGCAAATTTGACACCTAAAAGATTTAAGTTTCTCAACTGACAGCACTTTAGAGAATTCCACTTCAATGTGACTCAAATGGCACTTCCCCAAAACTCAGCTGAGTACTGCTTTTTTTGAGAGTGAAATGGTCACTATCCCTTAAAACTTGTTAAAGCTTTATTGTTGCATAAATTAAATCAACAAAAGTTATATTAATTAAAACTGAATTGTAAGTTATTAGGTCCTGGGTTGATTTTTTTTTTTTAAAATAAACAAACCAGAAACTCGATTTTCAAACATTTACTGATGTCATTACCTCTGCATAAAGACTGGCTGCTTCACTACGTCAAATGATAGGCATTGCATATCTCAAAGATTCCTTTTATGCTTTGGCTGCCAGGAATTTTGGGAAATAAAATCCATAGGGAGTTGCACTGCTAGCCCAAAGGCAGCCTCTGTGGCAGTACGAATCTAACAGCCACTCTACTGGAGAAAGATAGGCACTCTCCTCTCGTGCAGTTTATAGCCTCAGAAACCCAAATGGAGGGTCAGCTCTAAGTCAGTTCCAATTTGACAGCAATCAGACAAATACAGGTTTCATTTCCTAAATCTGCTAGTAGATAATACTTTTCCTTTAATCTGGCTCTAATAACTTCTTTAAAAAATTTTCTACATCTGTACTTTCAGTACATGCAGCTTCTGAGCACCTAAACCAAAATTGAGATATGCTAGCAGTAGTACTGTACAAAGTACATTTTAATAGTGGTTATATGTTGTTGTGATGTTTTGGATATATTGGGTTAAGTAAAACACACTCGTAAGATGGTATGTGTCATACACAAAGCCCCTCTGTAATGTTTGCTTTCAGCTCTCTTCTTTCCAGGTGAGTGGCATTCTCATGACTCTTCCACATTTCTAGACAAATCTGTTTTAGGTTTCACTTAAAGTTGGAAAGGATCTGATAAGACAATTCATAGCACACTGGAAATGGCCGATAACATTGTGTTTACCCTCTTCTTAGGGGGTATTTCAACAGGGAACTATCTCTAACCCTGAAGGAATGAATCTCTAATGGTGGAATTTCAGGCCTCAGTGGCAGGTGAGTGAGAGATAGATTGGTTTTATCTGTACATGTGTTTATATATGTGTGACTACATTCAAGATATGACTGAAAGAAGGATCTTTGGATTAAAGGTAATAGGACAGGTTAGACAGAGAAGGCAGCATATCCCCAGCTGGGTCAGACTTCAATAGGCCATCATCCAGTATAAACTCTTAGGGGCTTTGTTAAGTAATAGAAGGGCCCCACTGATGTCATTAGAGGTTAGGTACCAAGACAGTCTCCATGGTAACTACAGTGAAGGAGAAGGAAAGCCTCAGTAGGAATCAGAAGACCATGCTTCCAGTCCAGAGCTGACTCACAGTATTAACTTTGGGCAAGTTCCTTCACCCCCTGGGTTTCAGTTTCTCATCTAGAAATTGGAAATCGGTGTTCTGTCAAGTGAGGTCTAAGAAGGTGCTCTGAGAAACAGGACTTGCTCTAGAGACGGACTGATGGTGACAGTAGTTGAACTGGAATTAGTATCTTAAAATGGAAATGTCATCAAGCAGTCCTGCAGTAGTGGAGGGTAGAAAACAGGGCTGAGGGCTTTGGGGAGGTCTGATGTCTACTGTACCTGGAATACCAATCCTCCTCTCTCTTTGCAGGCTGCTCTCAGACTCCCAGGGCCCATGCTTATCCACAACAAATGATGGCATGAGATATGAACAAACGGGACCTTATGAAGACTTCGGTGCAGGAGCCCCCACTTGACTACTCCTTCAAAAGCATCCATGTTATCCAAGGTCAGCCAGCAGAGCATAGCACTCTATTAACCACAACAGCCGGCCCAGGATGGTTCCTTACGGATAAACCACAGTCTTCTATTTAAAAGCCTAAAGAGATTCTTCCCTTATGCTTTCAATTAAAAAAAAAAAAAGTCTTCTCTCTCCACCCTCTCCCATCCCCCTACACTCCTGCAGTGGAGCAGGAGGTAGGAGTGGAAGAATTTTAGAATTTAAAAAAAACTTCAAAGGATTCAGGGACCTCTAGAGTAGTTGAAGGATAAACTTCAGAAGGCAGCCTTCACAATTTAGGTGGAAGAAAATCATGAAAGAAAGCTGTTAATTTTTACTTTGAGAGAAGGAAATGAATAAAATGAAAATACGTGCTGCTATGGAGACCAAGCGAACAGGCAGAGAACCTGCCTCCTTTGGGAACCTTAGTTTAGTCTGGCCACTGGTTGTAAAAAGGGAGGTCTTATCAACAAACTGGCATATTTCCAGTTTGAATATTTATTGACAAATTTCTCAACTTTATTCCAACTATATTAAAATTTATTCCATCACCACCACACATTATTACAAATTTCAAGACTACCCCTACTCATTTTTATTTTACCCTTCCATAGCTTTGTAAATGGGCAGGTAATATGCTTCAGGAATAGATACAGGGGGCTCCAGCAATGCCATGTCAAGGCATCACCAGTACTTCACAGGCAGGGTCGGCCATCTCTAGCTTGCTTGCTTGCTTGCTTGCTTGATTAATTTATCTATCTATCTATCTATTTATTTATTTTAATGAACATTTACAGAGATTTTGGATTTCCATTCATTCATTGCTGCACTTCTCTCCCGACCCAGCCCTCTCCCCCACCCCCACCCCCAGTTTGCTCCTCTCTTTGAAAAGTAAAACTCTCTTCCTGGTACACAATCCCTGCACCCCCCCCCCCCCCCCCCCCCCCCCCCCCCCAGTTTGCTCCTCTCTTTGAAAAGTAAATCTCCCTCCCTGGTACACAATCCCTTCCCCCCACACTCCACTATGCAACCTTAATTGTGGACTCTTGTGATAACCATAATACCCTATCATACATCGCTTTTAAATTATTCTCTCCCTCATCTATTTCAGTGCAGTATACACAATTTATCCAGTTTTTCTGTCTTACCCCAACTCCGATATCAGTCCCATTTTACAGCAGTGGCACCATGCAGTATTTGTCCTTTTACGACTGAGGTAATTCACTCAGCATAATGTCCTCCATGGTCACCCATTTTGAATAATATTGCATGAGTTCCTTGTTTTTCAATGCAGCATAGTATTCCATTGTGTGAATATACCATGGCTTCTCTATCCATTTGTTTGTTGATGGGCACCTGGGTTGTTTCCATCTCCTTGCTATTGTGAACAAAGCTGCGATAAACATAGGTTTGCATATATCTGCTTGGATGTCAGTTATGGTCTCTTTGGGATATATTCCCAGTAGTGGAATTGGTTAGTCAAATGGTATCTCTATTTGCAACTTTTTGCGAAAAGCGCCATATCGCCTTCTACAGTGGTTGCACCATTTTACGCTCCCACCAACAGTGAATAAGGGTTCCAGTTTCTCCACAACCTCGCCAGCATTTGTTGCTTGCTGTTCTGTTGAGTTTTGCTATTCTGACTGGGGTGAGATGATATTGCATAGTTGTTTTAATTTGCATTTCTCTTAGAGCTAGGGATTTTGAACATTTCTTCATGTGCTTGTTGGACATCGGAATGTCTTCTTTTGTGAAGTGTTTGTTCATATCCTGTGCCCATTTTTCTATTGGATTATTTACCTTTATCTTGTCGTAATGCTCAAGTATTTTATAAATTCTAGATATAAGTCCCTTATCTGACATGTCATTACCAAATACTTTTTTCCAGTCTCTGGCTTCCTTTTACCCTGTTGGAGAAGTTTTTGGATATGCATAGGGATTTGATTCTTAGAAGGTCCCATTCATCTATTTTATCTTCTCCTGGTTGTAGACATCTCTAACTTTTATCTGGTCTCTTGGAGACTTATCTTTCTTCACATAGCATATGAACATCTGTATATCTAAGACTCATTATCATCTTTGGTCTTCCAGTTTGTGGCCACCTTTAAGTTCAAGAAGCTGGCATGTAGTTACCCAGGAGATACTGGCCTTCACTTAGGTGTAGGGCACTACTTGAGTTGGCGTTACCAACAGTGGTGACTTACATTTATTCTTTCATGAACACACATCTATGTACCACAATCTGTCTGTTGTGCACAGCGTTGTTTCTGGTTGAGGTAGATAATTTTCATAAGGGTTTTTGGCTGTAGTAGCTATGAACAAGGTAACTGAGGAAAAGAAGTATAGCTTCTACCTATGCAGGCAATTCCCAGCTCTGAAAGGGGAGATGTAGCTTTGTCTTCTATGAAGTTTAGAATGAGAAGTCTAGGCACTAGGGTACAGCACAGCACAGAATAGCACAAAACAATCTATATACATGTTCTGTCCTTCATTCCCTAGTGGAGCACTGACTACCAATGCATCTGTAATAGTATTAACATGCACTATATGTGAGAATGTACATACACACATACATGCATATATATGAATGAATGTACCTTGCTAATGAATGAACATGAGTGAACAGACCCAAACAAGGCTGATGGGTACAAAGAAAGAAGAGAGGTACACCCGGCCTGCCAAAATCAGAAAGTACTGAGAGGTTCATCAGAGTTTCTAGAACACTTCTTTCAAGTTGGAGTTAAAAGACAGGACAAGTTTAGGGTATTTGGCACACTCATAACTATTTACTGAATTAACTGATAGATTGCTTAGACTCTGAAATGATATGACTGCACAGGGCATCTAATCTGCATTACCCAATCCACAATACTCTTCGCTTCTGTTCACAAAAGTACCATGCTAACTCCACAACATCAGACTCCTTCTTTCCAGATGAATGAAACAAACTGCATGGCAACCCTGTAGATGTAAATACAGGATCATTTTTCACCCATCTTCTTGAGACTAAACACCTCTAGGTCTCGGAGCTTTTGTGCGATCCAGTTTCTAGAGCTATCAGTTTTGATGCAGATTTATGTGATGCATTGAGCTGCTGAACTCTGAGGGGAGCAGTAAACTGTATCACTATGGATAGTCCATTCCTGATAATAACAACTCCATCCCACCAGGGTATCTTGAGCTGGGGATCTGTCTGTAGTTGGTGGCGTTCTCCAGGCTCCTGCCTCATCAGATGAGTGCTTGTTCCTATCTGGGCCTATCCTGACTTTTAACTTTCATCTGTCATTTCATCTTGACAGCAGGTGTGGGGAACAGAGGGAAGAAAAGGAAATTTATTCACCAATCGAGGTGTTTTCCTACAGAGGAACAAAGCCCTTTTCTGTCACCTCCTCCAAATTTAGGCTCCAACTATGAGCCAGCTCATTCCATGATTCAGGTAGAGAGCAGCCCTCTAGTGGATACTCCCTGACCTGCAGTGAGGGGAGGAAATTAATGCATTGAGGTTGAAGAAAACAAGCCCAAGCAGTGGAGAGATGCGGGGTGAAGAAAAGTTGGCCTGCTGGGGTCAAGTCACTTCAGCCAGTGTTTTTTTCTGCCACTGTCTTGGGTTTGGGCAAGGCCATCCTCTCTCTGGACTTCATTTGTTTTTCAAAAAAGAAGAGCTCGTAAAGAATGATTCTATTTCCCTCTTCCTCATTTTGAATGTGGTGTTCATGCTACTTCTATTTCCTTAAATCTCCATCACTGTTAAAACTCATTTAAATCTGGCTTTTGCCCCCATCCTTTTGACATTCCATTGAAACCGCTCTCACCTAGATCACCAAGGAGGACTTACTTAATATATTTGTTACTATTTCTGTAACTTGAAAAACAAAATGGAAGAACCCAAACTCATTACCACTGAGTCAATTCCATCAGGCTGAGTCGGTAAAATCTTTATAGCAGGTGCCATCATCTTTCCTCAGCATGGCTGGTGCTGGTGGATTCAAACTGCTGACCTTTTGCTTAGCAACCAAATTTGTAATGCACTGTGCTAGGAGGGCTCCTTTTCCGTAACTTCTATAACCTTAACGACCCTGAACATCTTCAAAATGTTACTCTTGTGGTTACTTCCTATCCCTCTCTGTTCTTTAACTGAATTAACTACTTATTCTTCCTTAACCTTTCTCTCTCACTAGGCATCTCCATCTTCTCCTTTATGCTATATTTTCAGTCTCCTAAGCTTCAGACCTGCATACCCAACTGCCTCCTTGGCCTCTCCATCTAAGTGTATTATAGGCACCTCCAACACGCCAAGGGCAAGACTGAACCTGGCCAAACCTATTCATCCTCTTTTCATTTGTTAATATCCAGTCAGCCAAACTGGAAACCTGGCACTTTTGGATACTTTCCTACCAATAGCAAGTTAACCATCAAGTCAGGCTGACTGTACCCCTTCATAGCATCCCAGTCCCCGTTACTCTGTCCTGTCAGGTCTCTCTCACCTTTCCTGAATGACTCAAGTAGCCAAACTAGCCTTCTAGTCTTGCCTTCCCTAAAATCTGCACTTCAAAGTAAACCTCCTGGGGAGCTCTGGTGGCCTAGTGGCAAGGAGCTGCAACTACAATCCCAGAGGCGCACGGTTCGAATCCACCAGATGCTCTGCCGGGAAAGGAGGGACAATCTCCTCCTGTACCAGTCAGATCTGATTTGACAGTACACACACACAAAAATAATAAAAAAAAAAAAAACCAAAGTAAACCTCCTTTAGGGTTCTTTTTAAAAAACTGAATCGTTTTCCTCTACTTGTTTACTTTTGGAGAAATTACCCTGCCCCCTCTGGGACTTATTTTTTCTAAAACTGTCTTTACTTTCACCTTAAAAAAATCATTTTTGTCACTTTAAACCCTAACCTACAAGAGCAGGACTGACCTAGTGTTCAAGGCCTTAATGGCGGGGCTTTTCTCCTTGAATTTCTGTATAGCATGGCTGTACACATACCATTTGCTGTTTTGTCATCCCTCTTTATCTCTGCTCAATACTGTTGTTCTCTCACCCTTTGTTGCTCCTGAGACCTGGTGCAGGGGTCACCTTCCCTAGGAAATGTCCCTGAATTATTCTTCTGTTCTTCCATAACTACTGTATAGCTGTTACACTATTTTGCCAGCTTGTTCCTTCTTGCCCAAGTGAGCTCCTCCAAGGCACAGACTCATGTAGAAACTGGTCTAGAGGGTTTCATTGTGTTGAGCATTGTGTATCAAAAACATTAATGGAAGAAAGAGAAGTCATCAGTACTTTTATAGGCTCTACCAGTGGGTAGTTCTGGATTCTGTGTTCTCTCCATTCAAGTCCAACTCTGGCCTTGTCACTGATGCCCATGTGGGATGCTATAACAACGGCACGGAGAGTAGACATTAGAGGACTTAGAAAGCTTTTCGTTGTTGTGAACCATCAAATTGGATCCAACTGGCACAGGAGATTGCCGTTCCTTCTCCAGTGGAGCATCTAGTGGATTGGAACTGCATGTTTTCATGGATGGGGAATCTTTAGGCCTCGATGCAAACTTGCTGGGACCTGTTATCAGGGAACTTGGCTAACAGCAGATAGATAGCTCCACATTAAGTTCCAGCATGAGACTACTGCCCTATCAGTAGTCCCTGATAGTTTAAGTTATTAATCCCCATAACTCTGTTCTCACAGATATGGTAAATGAGGAGCCAAGGACAGGGCTCCGACCCCTGAGGCATTCCAAGTCCGGGAAGTCACTGACTCAGTCCCTGTGGCTGAACAATAATGTCCTCAATGACCTGAAAGACTTCAGCCAGGTTGTCTCACAGCTGCTGGAACATCCGGAGAACCTGGCCTGGATTGACCTGTCCTTCAATGACCTGACTTCCATTGACCCCGTGAGTTCTCAGCCTCTTATTGACTATATGACTTTAATTAATTTAGCCTTCCAAAACCTCAAGGGAGAATATACTTAGCATCCAAAGGTTTTGTGAGAATTAGAGGATAAAACTTTAGCTGGCACATAGGAGGCTGAAGTAAAAGGTAGTTCTCACAATCTCCTCCTGTGTGCTTAATTGAAAATCCACTGGAGAGTCAGCTTTGAGTTGGTCTGACTTGACGGCACGCAACAACTTTTTATTAATCCAGACTCTGATTTTAGGATGTAAAACAGAAGTGGCTTATTCTTGCTCTAGTAAAATGGTAAAGAGCTGGAACATAGACTGGAATTAATTTCCTTGATGTTATCATCTCAATCCAAAACTCCTGTGTCTAGAAATGATGCTGTGGATTCCTGTCCTCATGATGTGACAGAACAGCTGGAAAGGTCTTCAGTGAAGAGGACGGAGGGCAACTGAAGCCCAGGGACTGGCAAAGTCATGTGCTAGGCCTGGTCTCCTGCCCCTCTGATCTAGAGCCCTTTCCATGCTGGCTTTTTGTTTCTTTCCCCATAGATCCTTACAACTTTCTTCAACTTGAGTGTCCTCTATCTCCATGGTAACTGCATCCAACAACTTGAGGAGATAGATAAACTGAGTGTTCTACCTCGGCTTCGAAGCCTGACACTCCACGGAAACCCCATAGAAGAAGAGAAGGGGTATAGGTAAGTGCCCTGTCCCTGGAGAGGCTCCTCTGAGGTCATTCTGTCACCATGGAGTCAAGGCAGGGAGTAGCAGACCTTTAAGCATTTCTTGCTGTCAGGAAGGTGTGATCTCCTTCAATTCCTCCATTCCTTACAATCAGGTAGCAACTCGTGGAGGAGAAAAGGTGTGCTGGTGGCACAGTGATTTAGTGCTCAGCTGCCAACTAAAAGGTTAGCTGTTTGAATCCACCAGAGGCGTTTGGCCTCTGTAGGTTTACAAGCCTGAAAACCCTATGGGATAGTTTTACTGTCTTATAGGGTAACTGTGAGTCAGTGCCATAGATGGTACTGCTATGGGTTTGGTTTCTGGTGATGTGTAGGGAGAAGAGGTATGGGGGGGAGTGTCTGGTCCCAGCCCAAGTCTTCCCCACAGGTATTATGTGCTGTGCACCCTGCCCCGTGTTACCACATTCGACTTCAGTGGAGTGACCAAAGGAGACCGCACTACAGCCGAAGTCTGGAAACGCATGAACATCAAGCCCAAGAAGGTCCGGACCAAACAGAATGTCCTATGAATTCCCAGGAGCCCTAAATGCCTGAAGGTGGTCAGCTTGGTATGATAATAAATAGTTTGAGCTGCTGAGAAGTCATTTATGAAGTAACTCATTGAGATACTCTTCTACTCAACTGCTAGGAGCTCTGGTCTTATTTCCCTGAGACCCTGGTTTGCTGCATGGCCTTGAGAAAGTTAACTAGCCTCTCTGGATTCCTTCTTACTCTTCAGTTCAGATATCTTGAGGTTAGAGCTGACCAGTCATTTCTAAACTCCTCACAGAGTAGTAGCGAGATTCTGCGGAGGTGTCTGAGGCCTCTATAATAAGAGACCAAGAAGTTGGCTATTACCTCAGCTAGATCAGAGGAGGTCCACTGTTTTATTTGGGGATTCTGAGTAAGACTTCATTTGATAAAAAGATTGTTATACTTAAAACATTTGTGTCTAGATCAGGTGCTCCTGAGAAAAGTGGTCTGGCCATCATGCCTGCCCTCACAGCCCCGTGGCTAGTAGGAAGTCAGCTGAATCTGAGGCAGTGCCTCCAGCAGTGACACCTGCCTCAGACTCATGTCTGCCCAGATTTGACAGTCTGTCACCATCCAGTCTGAGATTCCTGAGGCCTTATCTTGTGGACTGCTCTTTAATGCCCCTCCCCCATCTCACTGTTCACAGAATTAAGTAGTAGGGTGGTAGGCAGGACAGAGGGGCTGGAACCAGCACACAGATGAATACACTTCCTTTATCAAGGGTGACAAAAAGAAAAAGACCAAACATAAAGACCCAGGATGCTAGAAATACAAACTCAATTCATTCAAATTCAAGCATGTCCAAACCCTGGTGACAAACTTAGGTGCATGTGAGCACCAAGTCAGGGACAAGGGACAGGAGTGAATCTGAGGCCCAGAAAAGGTATGGGAATGGGCCTTTGGAGGCCCCTTGGTGATCACCCCCACTGTGGTTACCTCCACCTCCCCAGTGACAGTGAAGGGCCTTACAGGCCCCCATCTTGCTCCCACCTCACCCCTGGCCAGGGCTTTGAAGGTCAGTTTCAAGCAGTTCTACCCTCCCTTACTCCATCCTCACTTGTTCAGGCCTCGAGCCTCACTCTCCTTTCACCTACACGTTCTTCTCTGTGATTAGTAGCAGGTTAGGGTACTGTATGCACTGCAGTGAGGCTGAGGGCCAGGAGAGGTGGGGTGGAGGCGACGTGAAGAGAGAAGAGCGAGCTGTCCAAGGACCCCTCTCTTCAAGGGATCCCAAACTGTACAACCAGCTCCTCTTTAGCGTCCACGCGGATCTGAGAAAGTGCACTGTAGGCATAAGCAGCTATCCTGGAGACCTGAGTCGAGAGAGGGCCAGGGGGCAAAGGACAAAGTCAGAGATCAAGACAACAACAACAACAAAAAAAAAGAGAAAAGGAATAACAGGTGCAGGAGAGGTGGGAGGAAGACGGAGGAGATAAAAAGTAAGAAAGTGAACTGGGAAAGAGAAGTAGCAAAGTACCAAGCTCCCTAGCCCCGCTTCCCTTCCTCCTTTTGAGGATGAGAAGGAGGACCCTCCTGGGGAGAGAGACCTGGGATGAGCTCACCTGCTGCAAGTCAGAGGAGGAGATGGGCTCGCTGGCCAGCACCTGGTGGGGCTGGCTGGTGAGGGATGGCAGCGGTGGCAGCTTCTTCCAGTGGGTCAGGCTGCTGCTGAGCACAGCCAGGCGGGAGCTGCCCAAGGAGGGATGGAATGGTCAGTCAGGTTAATTTGTCCAGCCCAGGCCATTCTCAATTCCCTCAAGTCAGGGAAGCAAGTTACAGGACATCTCAGCTTATCACTAAGGCATGTGGTTCATATCCAGCAGTTGCTCTGTGGGAGAAGGACAGGCAATCTCCTACCGTGCAATTTACTGCCTCTGAAAACTCGCTGGAGGGTCAGCTATGGGTCGATTCCAACTCAATGGTACACAACACAACAGCTTATCATAAACTCTTGCTCTCACGGATATAAGAGGATAAACAGAGCTGACATGAACATCTACGGAGGCATCAAGCTACTTGTAGTTAGTCTCCTGGGCTGCAGCCAAATGAGCAAGAACTAGGCCCAGGCTCTAAATCAGAATCAGGCGAGGGCAGAGAGGAACCTGGGGTACCCAAACAGGCCAGGTGCTCACCTGTATTGTCTTGCCCTGTCCATGTACTCATGCTGCTCCATGCCCTGGGAGTCCGCGGCAGACACATCAATGATGTTGCTTTAAGGGGGAGGAAGCAGAAAGGACATGACAGGTGCTCCGAAAGGACAAATAGGACTTACTGTCAGGCGTCAACTCCAAGGCTATCTGATACCAATGTCCCTCACTGCTCACTGGAGCAGGTCTAGGCCCAGAGGCACCACTCTCCACCGTCCTTGTCCCAGCTCCTATGCTGGGCCCAAGAGTCTCAATCCCAGCTTGAAACTGGATGGAAGAGCTCTGCCCCGGGTTGGCCCTGTAAGGCTCACCTGGCTGTCTTGGCGAGGATGGAGGAAAGCAGGGCCTGCTCATCTGTACGTGCAGAAGGCAAGCTGTGATAGTTGGGCTCTGCTCCATTGACAGCTTTGGTGGGGGGACTGCTGGGGTCTAATAGCAGCTTCCGCTCTTCTCGGTCCTAGAAAGATGATAGGGGAAAAATCAGCCCCAGAACCCTTAGTCCAACCTGCGTTTTCTGAAGGTCCCTTCTCAGCTGAGCTCTAAGCTTTTAAGCACCAATGATGTTTTAACAAGGAATATCTGAAGGGCACAACTTTGTGGAATGTCAGTTCTTGCCTGCCCTGGAGAACTCAAGCTCAGCTAGTTCTGTAGAATGAACTATTGGACAGAGGTGCCTGGTACAAATAAAATGGCCTAGGAACCACTGACCGTTCTGGGCAGAGCAGAATTCAGTACCAGCCTTGCAGTCTAGCACCCAGTAGTGAGCAGACACAGGAGGCTAGAACTGAGCAAGTGGAAGAAAATACCAAGATGATAGTGGGGTCTACATAGTTCAGTCAGAAGCCCAAGGACGGCTTTCCTGATCCCTTAGGAAGGACTAGGGTCCCCAGCAAGGCTATCTACACCAGTATGGAGAGACCCCAGTGAGACTAGAAAAGGCCATAGTCATCACAGAAAGCAAGTTCACCTCTCAAAGGCCTTTCCTCAAATATCTCTGAACAGGAACCTAATCCCAAGCCTCAGAGTCACATGATCAAATGTGCTTCCTTCTTGAGGGCAGTCCCTCTGCCCTCCTCTCCTCTGATTGTATGTGACTCCCAGCACTAAATTAATGTGCTAGGTATATCCTGACCTGAGATGAACCCTAGAGCTATTCTTTGACTTGCTAAATCACAAACTCTATTAAAAAGGTTTCCTTAATTTTCACCAGTCCTGTTAACTGCTAGCCTGCTGTGATAAATCACAGCCCCTTGACCCAGGATCAACCATGTCTTCTGTCTATATAGTTCTGCATGTATTTTTCCTTGTCCTATTTCAGTCTGTTATTCTGATCATTGCAATCTTCCTAGATGTAACCCTCTTCTAACCCTGTTCTTAGGTCATAGCTACAAATCCCTACTGACCTTGTGTCAGCTACAAAGCTGACTGCTGAAATAAGCAGGTCTGCTGGTTATCCAAGTCATAAACAATAAAGGTGCCCAGAATACCACCAAGGATGGGAGTGGAGACCCATTCCATCTAATGCTGATGCATTAACTCTCAATGTAAGATCATCAGACTCCTCAGTGTTCCACCCAGGTCCATACAGACTTCAGCACTTCAGTGCCCAAAACACTCTTTACTAAGGACTCCTTCCTCCTGCCCTATGATGATACAGTCCCAAACAGCACAAAAGAGAAGCTCCCCTTTACCTCCAAACTTGAAAAAAACAGAGGGTCAGGGTTAAAGGGCTAGAAAGATTAAAGGCATGAAAAGATTAAGCTATCTCTAAGGAAATATAACTCCTAGTGAAGCATAAAGGAGCTCTGGTAGCCTAGTGGGTAAGTAGTTACACTAACCAGTCCAAGGGCATTCAGTTCAAATCCACCGGCAGCTCTGCAAGACAAAGATGGGCAATTTCTTCCCATATAATTTACAGCCTCTAAGAAACTCAATGGAGGGGCAGCTATGAGTTCATTTAAACTCCAGAACAGTGACTTTAACTTTTGAGTGAAGTCTGAATTTGCTGCCTGTATAATGTTCTCCCAACCTTACCGACCTCACACACATCTTTCTATAGGGCAGGGTTTTCCTGCTCCTCATCCCCCATTAGAAGATCTCCAAGAGTAAGACTTTTTCTGAGATCTAGACTCCCAGAAAAGGCCAGGCTACCTTCCCTCCATCAGAGAGGACAAACAGCATCAGTCCTGGGCAAGCAAGGAAATGCCCTGGTCTGCCAAGCCCATGTGTCCTAGGAGTTGAGGTTCCACTATCTACCCTAGAAAAGACACACTTGTAGCCTACCCGTGGATGGCC